TGCCGGGGGGGGGGGCCCAGCCGCAGAGGCTTTTCCAGGCCGCCCACAGTACCTGAAAACCCTTTCCTGCAGCTGGTGGCCCCCGTGCCCCCGCCCACCTCCCAACCTGAGGGCCCCACCTCTGACTCCACCGGTGTCTTTATGGGCAGACACCAGGACCTGGGGCCTGGACAGCTCAGCAAATCGGCGGCCCCGAGCCCTGAGAAGCTGGAAGAAGAGGCCACCACTCCCAGTGACCCTCAGCCACCAGCGGAAGCTGAGCACCAGACTTCAACACCTGCCAAGGATGCCCGTCCAGTGCAGAAGGCATTAAGGCTCAGCCTCTCCCACCCACTGGCTGTGTGTGACCAAAAAAGAGCCACATGGACACTCTGGAGCCGCTGGGGGACGCTGCCCAGAGCCCCCTTGGCTCCCACTGGAACCCCGGAGCCCCTGCCCAAGGCAGGCGAGCAGCGCCAGGCAGGCCCTGGGCGGTTTGCCGTGGTCATGCCTCGAATGCAGAAACTGAGCTCCTTCCAGAAAGCTGTGCCTGCCTCCCAGCAGCCTCCTGAACAGCCTGCCCAGGACACCCGGCCCAGCCCCATGCCTCGAGCGCAGAGTCTGCACTGGCCTCACCTCTGGCTCCCGGCAGGCACCCACCGGCCCTGGCCAGGAGTCCATACCCAGCCCCGGTCCACCTGCCTGGGCCCTGGAGCCACCTGCCTGTCTCTCAGGGGGCCCTGGAAAGATGTTGGCCCTCAGAGGTGGCAGAACAAGGTATGAGCGAGGGCTGCTGAGTTCTGGCCTAGGAGACAGGGCAGGGGGTGACCCGAGAAGCCCTGTGTGAATGGGTGAGCAGCCGCCTGCTCGGGCCTCAGTCTCCCCGTCTGCCCTTGGGGAAGAACAGCATGGGCATCTGAACCTCTCAGGGTTAAACAAGGGACGTTTGCCCAGGATGGGCAGCCAAAAGACAGATGTGGGGAACTGCTTCCAGGTGGCGTGGGAAGTCCCGGCTTGGGCCTGGGGCAGCCCTGGCCTAGTCTGAGGGGTGGGGCCAGCCCCAGCTGCTCCTGGAGAATACGCCTGGGCCCAGTGCCACCCTGCCCAGTCCACCGTGTCCCACCCCACCCTTATGTTCCTCCTCTTGTTGATCCTCCCCCGAACTAGTCTTCTTCTTTCTCAGGGCTCTGCTGTCCCTCACTGTCCCCTGAGCTGCAGGGTTCTGGATTAGACATGGGTGAGGGGCTCAGGACCCAACTTCCAGCCTTCTCATGGGAGGTTAGGAGAGGCCCAGAGGCCACACAGAGCTTGGGGGCTGAGCCAGGGGTCAGTCCTGGTGGGATGCAGGTGGGCAACCTGCCGATGGGTGCCCAGCCTGTGCCTGGCTGCCACTCCCATGGCGGAATGTGAGCTCACTGCTGGGTGGCCCCCATGGGAGGCGGGTGTTCACTGGAGCCTCCCCCGGGACGTCTGGCATGGGCGGGGCAAGCAGGACGGCGGGTGCTTCTCAGCCTCTGCAGA